GCAATCAGCAGGGAATGCCTTAGCCTTCCCCTCTCTCTGGACTGTTCTGCGTGCTGTCCTGTTGCATGTTTCAGAGGTTTCTTAGTTTGAAAACAGCATAAGCCAGAAACGGGAAGGGAGTGGCGCCTGGCTCACCTTTTTGTGTGTTAGAGTGTGTCACCTGTGATCCCATGGTAATTCTGTTACATGTGTTAGTAATAGTACTAACACGCTAACAATAATGTGAGGACCTCTGGATCTGTGCCCTCCCCTCCTCCTGCCCAGGCTCTTCCTCCTCACCTTGCGCCTTCATTTCTTCCTGCCAGTTTTTATGGTTTTTAATAAGCAGCTAACATTTATGGAGTGTCTCCTGTGTGCCTGGCACTGTTATAATCACTTTACAACCTATTAACCCATTTAATCCTATTATTTACTCTCTTTTTTTTTTTTCCAGTGACAGAGGAAACTTTCTAGCACAATTGTGATGCAGCACAGCTGTGAAAACAGCACAGCTGTGAGGTGACCCCGGGGCCAGGCCCCTCTCTGGCTGGACAGCTGCGCCCTGCTCCTCGCCAGTGTGCTTTGCATTGCTCCGGCCTGTGCCACCCTGCGCCAGGGAGGCATCTTGGGTGTTTCAGCTCAGCCAGGGAGATGCAACGTTCAATCTTCCCTGGAAAGAGAAAGTGGGCTCCCAGAGCGGAGGGGAGCTGGCTTATATGGACAAAAGTCCACACTCCTGGTCCCTGATTGGCCTGTCCTCATGCAAACGAGGACTCCAAATCCTTGCAGTCTGATTGGCCCAAAAGGCAGTGTCGCCTTGATTGCTCAGATTAAAGCTGCTCTCATTGGTCGAAGCTGTGGAAATCCGATTGGCTGGGGACAGCCTCAGTCCCACTAGTTGAAGCAGAATTCCAGGCTCCTCTATCAGGGCTGACCCAGCTCCAGAAACAGTGCGGGGAGGTGCCCGGTGCAGGCTTCTCCCTGAAGCGCAGTTTGCATGAGAGGCTGTTTCTGTGTAGAAATGGCTGCTAGGCCCTGTTTGGGGGGTTTTTGTTTGTTTTTTAATTTTAGCCCAGTTAACCACCAGGACCCCCTTGTAGGTGTCTTATCCTCAGGGTTCACACTTTCTTATTTTGTTTAATGTCTGTCTCACCCGCTCTAGAATGTAGGATCCATGAGGGCAGGGATTTTTGTCTGTTTGGTTCGAGACTGTAACCTCTGCACCTAGATACTTACTCCCTTTTAATAGCAGTGAAAACTGGCTCAGATACTTAAGGATCTTGTGCCAGGCCACACATCTCCAAAACGTTCATCTCTTTACTTCTTTTGAATTATTGACCATTTAAATACTGATTTTTAGAGAATGCTCCAAAGGATCAATTTCCTCAAGTTCCCTGTGCAGAGATGTTTTCCCGGCGGTGGGGAGGTTTACCTGGTAAAAAGTAAATGAATGGGGCTAGGATTAGAATGTTCTGTTAATGGATTCTGTGCTTTCTTTGAGTGAGACGTTTTTGGTCATTTTCAAGCCAAAAAGCAATGTGGTTTGGCAGGAATGGTTCAGGTTCATGGGTTGGGGATGGCCAGGGAGGGGGAGCGTGGATAGAAATCACCAGACTTCACCTTCAGATCCTTTTTGGAACGAGACACATTTATACAAAGCCAAACCAATAAAGAAACCACAAGGGCTCCCCCACCTCACTCCCTAAACTGACCAAGAGTAAACACGAGTCTCCAAAGGTCCCTCCCGGGCCTCTCCCGCAGTCCTGGAGACAGTTCTCTTCAGGATAACCTTTACTTGGAACAGATCCTTTTGTCAACAGGAACGACTATTTGGAATAAACCTTCATGGAGGTCAGTGGATTGACCTATGAGCGTCAGGTCATAGGGAGAGCAGAATATTCTCTGCAGTGGAGACTGATACAAGTACACAGAACAGCCCTGCCCTGGCTTCTCTGGTGGCCAAGGGACTCGTGCCTCCCACAGAGAACTGCATTTCTGGGTGCTGGGTGGCAGTACCGTGCTTACCAAAGCGTGGTCAGGGCTCTCCTCCAGGGCTGCCTGTAGTTCACCTGGGAAAGGAGGCCTTGTGAATGAAGATCCTAAAGGGCGGAGGAGGCAGGGATGACACTGCCCAGAGGAGGTGACAGACATGATCATATGTCCTTTCTGGGGCTGTGAGCAAGCAGAGAGGGTAAAGTAGTTATACCAGGGGTGGCCATGGGGTGGGAGCGCAGAGAGGGGTCAGCTCAGACCTCACCAGCCAGAAAGCAGGAATCGCCCTGAAGGGCAGGGTTGGCCAGGTTCGTGCCCCAGGCCTTGCCTCCTAATGGGAAATCTATAATGCAAGCAGCCTGCGGGCACGTAGGCCAGGGTGTCCCTGTCCATTAGAGCGATCACACCCACAGCTGTCAGGGCCCTTATCACGAAGGGTCAACAGTCAGGGCTTTGGTGATGGAAGGGACTGGAGAAGCCAGTGAGAGGTGGTGGTGGGGGTCCCACCGGGTGTGTGTGTGGGGGGGGGGTCTGGGAGAAGTGGCATCCAGATGAGTGGCATCCAGACACGCCCCCTCTTCTCTGCAACTCCCCGCTGTGTCCAGGTCTGACCTAGAGGGACAGACACGGGCTCCTGGGCGCCAGCCAAGGGAGGCCCGGGGCAGGAGGGAGGGGGAAAGGCCACCCCGGGAGGGAGGGAGGCGGCGTAAGGTCTCTGTAGATACGGCCGCCGCCCGGCCCACTCCTTTAGACTCTGGCCGTGCGGGGCCGGGCGCGCTGCCTCCGCCTTATAAAGAGCCGGGCGCCCGGC